TTTTATGTGTATGACACCTAGCTCTGCTTCTTTACATCCAAAAGAAAATGGCATTAATAACGATACTTCGGTATGTGGAAATCAAAGGATATTCAATGGGACTTCAGGAGTTATCAAGTCACCCGGATACCCAAACCGTTAGGTCCGCTATTTAGCGAGCGACATTCGATTAGACATTCAGTTAGACATTCGAGTATACATTCGGACTTTGATTGCTTCTTACAAAAAAACCATAAGATATAATAAAAAGATATTTCATAGTGGGAAACTTGGCTGGATTCTCTGTCGATTCGTGTATCTTGTTTATATTAAGACGCGCTATGCTTTAAAAGGTAAGGCAAAACATCGAAAATTTTTGTACACGGCCTAAATGTTCGCGTAAAATAGACATTCGCAGTGAAACATCACAACCTGATTTGAACTGATTTCAGGCGCTAAGGAAGAAACAAGTTAGCGAAATCGACTCAAAACAACATGAAACGTACCTTTCCTTCAACTTTTCAGCAAATTCAAGGGAAAAACTACCAATTTCGAACATCCTGTTCAACTAGCAACAAGCTCCGAGGAAACCCCAATTTGAAAACTTGCAAAAACTATCTCCCTAAATAACGTCTGCCAGGCTGATCGGAATATGATGAAACTTGGTAGGGTTGCTAGAAATAATGTACTTAACATGTTTTTTTGGGTCTGGTTGCGATTTTCTGGTTTTGTGCGAATTTATGAAACGACCCTCTATCGAGCTCCATACTGAAGCCTTATAACAGCGATCTCGAATGTCTATCTCCCAAATAACGTCTGCCAGGCTGATCGGAATATGATGAAACTTGGTAGGGTTGCTAGAAATAATGTACTTAACATGTTTTTTTGGGTCTGGTTGCGATTTTCTGGTTTTGTGCGAATTTATGAAACGACCCTCTATCGAGCTCCATACTGAAGCCTTATAACAGCGATCTCGAATGTCTATCTCCCTAAATAACGTCTGCCAGGCTGAGCGGAATATGATGAAACTTGGTAGGGTTGCTAGAGATAATGTACTTAACATGTTTTTTTGGGTCTGGTTGCGATTTTCTGGTTTTGTGCGAATTTATGAAACGACCCTCTATCGAGCTCCATACTGAAGCCTTATAACAGCGATCTCGAATGTCTATCTCCCTAAATAACGTCTGCCAGGCTGATCGGAATATGATGAAACTTGGTAGGGTTGCTAGAAATAATGTACTTGACATGTTTTTTTGGGTCTGGTTGCGATTTTTTGGTTCTGTGCGAATTTATGAAACGACCCTCTATCGAGCTCCATACTGAAGCCTTATAACAGCGATCTCGAATGTCTATCTCCCTAAATAACGTCTGCCAGGCTGATCGGAATATGATGAAACTTGGTAGGGTTGCTAGAAATAATGTACTTAACATGTTTTTTTGGGTCTGGTTGCGATTTTCTGGTTTTGTGCGAATTTATGAAACGACCCTCTTTCGAGCTCCATACTGAAGCCTTATAACAGCGAATTCGAATGTCTATCTCCCTAAATAACGTCTGCCAGGCTGATCGGAATATGATGAAACTTGGTAGGGTTGCTAGAAATAATGTACTTAACATGTTTTTTTGGGTCTGGTTGCGATTTTCTGGTATTGTGCGAATTTATGAAACGACCCTCTATCGAGCTCCATACTGAAGCCTTATAACAGCGATCTCGAATGTCTATCTCCCTAAATAACGTCTGCCAGGCTGATCGGAATATGATGAAACTTGGTAGGGTTGCTAGAAATAATGTACTTAACATGTTTTTTTGGGTCTGGTTGCGATTTTCTGGTTTTGTGCGAATTTATGAAACGACCCTCTATCGAGCTCCATACTGAAGCCTTATAACAGCGATCTCGAATGTCTATCTCCCTAAATAACGTCTGCCAGGCTGAGCGGAATAAGATGAAACTTGGTAGGGTTGCTAGAAATAATGTACTTAACATGTTTTTTTGGGTCTGGTTGCGATTTTCTGGTTTTGTGCGAATTTATGAAACGACCCTCTATCGAGCTCCATACTGAAGCCTTATAACAGCGATCTCGAATGTCTATCTCCCTAAATAACGTCTGCCAGGCTGATCGGAATATGATGAAACTTGGTAGGGTTGCTAGAAATAATGTACTTAACATGTTTTTTTGGGTCTTGTTGCGATTTTCTGGTTTTGTGCGAATTTATGAAACGACCCTCTATCGAGCTCCATACTGAAGCCTTATAACAGCGATCTCGAATGTCTATCTCCCTAAATAACGTCTGCCAGGCTGATCGGAATATGATGAAACTTGGTAGGGTTGCTAGAAATAATGTACTTAACATGTTTTTTTGGGTCTGGTTGCGATTTTCTGGTTTTGTGCGAATTTATGAAATCAGGAAAAATGTTTATTCTATGGAAACAAAGCAGATACCCCAAATAGGTGGACTGCAAATTTTAAGTGAACGCGGTATAAGAAATAGTTGTAACAACTGCTGGAGTAACTCAGCATTTCATTTGCTTTGCGGAACTGCATTATCTAACTTGTTGCCTTCGTATAACAGCTGTAGCACAATTGTTTGCCAGTCTCTCCTCAAAATTAAAGAAAAACTTCAAAAGCAAATCATGGCATCCACCCCCTTGAAATTTACCTCGAACATGAGAGCTATTATATCGTATTTCCGTAATCGTGATCAGAAAGAACAGTCTCATCAAGATGATGGAGCAAGTCTTGTTGAGGAAATTCTGTTGCATCTTATAGATAATAGCATAGATGACATTGAAGGGTATTTTCAAACAAAGATCTTAAGTCTCACAAACTGCACTACTTGTAATAGAGGTGGAATATCTGCAAGGGGCCAGGTTGTGATTCCCATTCATTTAGAAAAAGATTCGGTTCCGAACGTATCTGTGCAGTCATATCTTTGGGAGAGTTCATTTGTCAAGGATAGATTCCACGACTTTTCTTGCGATTGCGAGCCTGAAGATGCTCATTTGACCCATAGAATGTTCTATTTACAGCTCCCTGTAGCATTATTAGTTATGGTCGAAAGAGGCAACGGCGTAGATAATACAGTTCTGCATTGTCCTGTTAAAATTAACGAAACTCTTTTCTTATCAAATATGTTGCCAGGTCAGTATAATAAAGATTCTTGTGTGTATCGTCTTGCTGCCGTTCTTGTTCATCATGGTAAATCATCTACGTTTGGCCATTATAACTGTGCCATATTCAATGATCTAGGTGAAGGGCTTAAATTTGATGACAGTAAGCAAGTGCCCGTATCACTTGAGAAATATATTAATTCGAGGGAATGTAAAGAAAACTGTCGTATGTTGGTATACATTAACTCTGTTGCTCTAAGAAATGCAACGCCAACTACAAATGCGCCTTGGGAAAAAGAAATGAGCCCCATCGATAATAAAAACGTAGAAAGAATTCTTTTCGGATTTGAGAATAGCCCCAATGAAGTTAATCTCCCTGTCGAATCATATAGAACCATTGCCTGTAATGAAAATTTGCATGGTGATGTTATCTCTACATTTTTACAACATCTAGCTTTTAAATTTTTTGGCAAATCTGACATTGAAGTCTTGCCATCACAGGTTTTGACAGCCATTCTGGAAAAAAGATCCACCGGACACATTTTATCAAATTCTATCGAGGAATACCAACGAATTCTTGGGGCAACTATTGTCTTTTTTCCATTTCACCAAACGAGAAAAGGCTCACCAGGGCACTGGAGCATTATTGCTTTGTACCCCGAAAAAAGGCTGGTGGTACATTGTGATTCAGCAGCAAGTGACGGTGGCGAGGAAAATGCCTTCTTTGCAATTAATGTTTTCATTTCCAAATTACTTTCCGTTGCAAAAAAAGAATCAGAAATACCTAACTGGGTCTATCTTTCATTAACCGAATACGGACTCCAGCAGCAATTCGATACACACAGCTGTGGGGTATATACATGTGTAAATGCTTATTGTCTGGTTACTTTGACGGATTTCGAGATTTTCCAAACTGACCTTATACCGATAAGATATTGGATAGGGAAAGCTTGCATCGATGGCGCAGAATATGTAGGTAGAAGAAGGTCCACGAATGCCACTGTTTGGGGTGCAATAGAAACAGACGAGCGAGAGATTTCAAAGCATAATTATCATGCAGATCGTAACTGCAAACCTTTTGCTACGCTAAAATCAATTATAGACTCGCCCGATCTCTCCGAAAACGTTGCTACTATTGAAACAATATCAGATGACGCAGAAAGTAATGACAATCCTAGGGAAGACACTAGTTTGACAACTGATAGCAATACAGATAATGACACAGACGATGCCAACGATAATGACACAGACGATACGCAGGAAGACATGCATTTCAGATCAAAAAAATTCCGCAATGCTTTTCTAAGCTATGCAGAATCAGAATTGGAACCATTTTTGACACGCTTTAATAACGATACTGCACCCAAAAGAAAACATGACAAAAGGAATTTATCAGAGCGGCTGACTGCCCTTATCACCCTTGGTAATAAGGAATATGAAGAATTTGCTAATTTCGAGTTACATAATTTCTTTTACAAAACATTCGGAAAGTCAATTTGGCGCATCATGTCTCGTTACACCGCTTTACTCATCGAGATGGTAAGGACAGATAATGACTCTGTAGCAAGCCTCCAATATCAGTTTAAATATAACATAGAAAGATTACTTGGTCATACTCGCGCAAATCTAACAGATCTGTTCTTGTTTCCAGAACAACTTACTCATTTCGTAATGAAAGAATATCATCTCTCCTTTAAAGAAGCGACTGCAAAACTTTACTCTACCGAACAGCCTAGAAATACGGTGTTCTTTAATGCAATTAAACACTCATAGAACCCAGTGACTTTGCTTTCCTATTTCCTCGAATCCTCGGCAGTATTGTAAATGATCATCTGTACAGTGACACATTTGTGAAAAAATTGTAAAATAAAATGAAAACAGAAAGTAGATTAGAAACGTAATATATTTAATTAGTTAAGACGATATTGAATTTATTTCAACACTACGCAGTTTTATACGGCTGTGATTGAAGCCCCGTATGAAGGAGCAGTATATCATTAAAATCTATTTCATGTTTAACATTTTGTTAATTGACCAACGTTCTTGATACATTATTCAGCAATTAGTTATAGTTTAAATAAATTTTGTTTTCACATTAATACCGTTTGAAAGCAAATGTTGACTGATTGGTAAATTCCCGCGTAGTAGAATAATAATTGTAAGTTTTCCTATACTTCACGCATTTAACAAGTTGATCTCTATGGCCATAGTCCTGTTTTAGTCTACAACTTTTGTATAAGTAGTCTAAATCGATGTATCTAAATAATTTAAATGTTTATTAGTAATCGAATATGTTAAACAGGTCTTTTCGCTACAAGTTGCAAAGAAACACAAAGTATAGTAAAATATAAATATATAGACCCTTGTAACAATTAAGTGTTGTAACAAGTTTTATTCTATAATGTAAGTTCTCCTTCGATAAAATTTTTTTTACCATTTCAATGTACTGTCAATAAATAACTCGTAATTATGCAAACTGTCGTTTGTCGTCTTTTGGGGTTCACCATAACTGATATAAAAATCTCAACAAGACCTATCAACCAGACCCAAAAAAACATGTTAAGTACATTATTTCTAGCAACCCTACCAAGTTTCATCATATTCCGATCAGCCTGGCAGACGTTATTTAGGGAGATAGACATTCGAGATCGCTGTTATAAGGCTTCAGTATGGAGCTCGATAGAGGGTCGTTTCATAAATTCGCACAGAACCAAAAAATCGCAACCAGACCCAAAAAAACATGTTAAGTACATTATTTCTAGCAACCCTACCAAGTTTCATCATATTCCGATCAGCCTGGCAGACGTTATTTAGGGAGATATACATTCGAGATCGCTGTTATAAGGCTTCAGTATGGAGCTCGATAGAGGGTCGTTTCAGAACTTCGCACAAAACCAGAAAATCGCAACCAGACCCAAAAAAACATGTTAAGTACATTATTTCTAGCAACCCTACCAAGTTTCATCATATTCCGCTCAGCCTGGCAGACGTTATTTAGGGAGATAGACATTCGAGATCGCTGTTATAAGGCTTCAGTATGGAGCTCGATAGAGGGTCGTTTCATAAATTCGCACAAAACCAGAAAATCGCAACCAGACCCAAAAAAACATGTTAAGTACATTATTTCTAGCAACCATACCAAGTTTCATCATATTCCGCTCAGCCTGGCAGACGTTATTTAGGGAGATAGACATTCGAGATCGCTGTTATAAGGCTTCAGTATAGAGCTCGATAGAGGGTCGTTTCAGAACTTCGCACAAAACCAAAAAATCGCAACCAGACCCAAAAAAACATGTTAAGTATATTATTCCTAGCAACCCTACCAAGTTTCATCATATTCCGATCAGCCTGGCAGACGTTATTTAGGGAGATAGACATTCGAGATCGCTGTTATAAGGCTTCAGTATGGAGCTCGATAGAGGGTCGTTTCATAAATTCTTACAAAACCAAAAAATCGCAACCAGACCCAAAAAAACATGTTAAGTACATTATTTCTAGCAACCCTACCAAGTTTCATCATATTCTGATCAGCCTGGCAGACGTTATTTAGGGAGATTTTGCAAGTTTTCAAATTGGGGTTTCCTCGGAGCTTGTTGCTAGTTGAACATGATGTTTGAAATTGGTAGTTTTTCCCTTGAATTTGCTGAAAAGTTGAAGGAAAGGTACGTTTCATGTTGTTTTGAGTCGATTTCGCTAACTTGTTTCTTCCTTAGCGCCTGAAATCAGTTCAAATCAGGTTGTGATGTTTCACTGCGAATGTCTATTTTACGCGAACATTTAGGCCGTGTACAAAAATTTTCGATGTTTTGCCTTACCCTTTAAAGCATAGCGCGTCTTAATATAAACAAGATACACGAATCGACAGAGAATCCAGCCAAGTTTCCCACTATGAAATATCTTTTTATTGTCTTTTATGGTTTTTTTGTAAGAAGCAATCAAAGTCCGAATGTATACTCGAATGTCTAACTGAATGTCTAATCGAATGTCGCTCGCTAAATAGCGGACCGCCATTATGCTAGTCACCAGATTGGAATATTTGAAAGATGTACAGGGGATCTGTTTCATGTCCATGAAAATTGCGCATTTGCAAATAGCACAGATAAAAATTTTATGCGGCTGAGACTTATTATCATAAAAATACAGTATGCAACTTTTGGGTAGGCCTATACTTTACATTTCAGAGAAAAACATTAGTAACGTCGTTAGTGGTGATAAAAACAATATAGCAATGATAAACATTTTTCGTAATTCCTAAAGATAAGAACGAGGGGAACCCAACCAGATGAGAATATTTTTGGTAAACCAAAATCTGCACAAACTTTGAAAGCTTTGTGCATGGTAATAAATTAGATCATCCTGTCCCATGTATATTTTACTTCCAACAGCTTTAACAAAGATAACAATATCCTTCACGTGTTTGCTGTTATTTGGCATATGTGTGTACAAAAACCAGCCTTGTGCATACACAAGCAAAAAGTAATGATGATCTAGATAATCTGCAACTCTATGGGTCTTCAAATTCAAAGTCAAATGTGCACAGTAATTTAGTGCACAGTCAAATGTGCACACTTAATGCTGATCCACTCTTGTACTTCCAGATAATTCTTGATCTTGTCTAAAACTGCCATGAAATCCCGACCTATCTTCAAAATTAATTTTTAGATAAATCTACATGTAAAGCTACAATTTTATTATACTATTCCACCCACTAACCACATTTGTTATTTATTAGACAATCTCAGTGTCTAGACAATTGTGATTTCTTTTATTGTTCTTACTATGTTATAATTATTTTTGATGAAGACATTAATTATGTTTTGTGGCTACAGCATCAGCATATAGAAATAATGGATATCAAACTAATTTTTATAAAGGCATGGGAGGTGTCAGAGCAAGAAAGTCTAGAAGAAATAAAATTGTCAATGATACTAAAGTTGCAAATAAAAGGAAAAAGAGGAATTTTAAAGTAGCAAAAGTTACAAGGTGAGAATGTAGTTGTCTTCAAATAACATCAAAATTTGTTTATGTGAGCCAAATGAGTTGTGTTTCAGAGGGACTCAAATAGTTTGAACTTGTCAAAGAGGACAAATTTGCAAAACTAAACATAAAAACTGTAGAATAGAAAGAAAATGGAAACAAACTAAAGTATCAGTTTGCCTAGTATTTAAGCCTTTTTGAATAGAATTTCCCAGTCTGTATTGCCAGGAGCTTTTCTGCACCTCATTACCCGAGTTATTTTATCAGTTATAACCTGAAAAGTATCTGAAAAGTTCTACCTGAGGTACTCCCTCACTAGAGTTACAATGAAAACCCTATACAGCCAAACATTAATCCAAAAGGATCATTCTAGCGACAGACTAGTATATAGCTGTAGACCTAAATCTCACATCATGTTGACAATAATTACAGTTAGCCTTTACCAGAATATTCATCTGTCAATAGCAATTTTAGATGCGTAGGGGAAAACCTTTTCTATGCTCCTTGGAATTGTTAAGTATAAATTATATTCTTGTTGCAATTTTGCCCAGTTCGGTGATTAGTGGGTGGTGTGTCAAAACATACAGAATCCTATTTGTCCTTTCATTGTCTATTGTTTTTCTCCTTCATTTTTTCAATAAGAGTCTCCTCCAGTATTTCCCATTTTGTAATAAGACTGTTTTACCCATTTTACAATTATAATAAAATTGAAATAAATCAATGTATACAAAGCCTTCTCACTTCATGTCTATTAATATGAAGTTAATCTCAATCAAATTGTTCTTTATTGCCAGACATTCCTAACGATAATTTACTTGAATACAGCAAGTTAAATTTGAAATTAATTTTAGAATAGCAGAACTTGTTATGTGATTCTCTTAAAAAGATTTACTTCTTATCTCTAAGTTAAATCTTTTACACAATTGATATCAACTCCTATTTCTATTTGTAGCAAAGTTATAAAGGATCATTGGGATGATAGAAAGACCTTGAAACAAAACTTCAAGAGCATTGGTCTGGCAATGGACCCAAACGATGCTTGTAAAAAAACAACTTTGAAGGTCAAAAAGGTAATTAGCATCCAGATTCATAGAACATTAGGCCAACAACATATTCAAAGAGGTTTAAGAATATCAGGTTTCTGTTTGTTATGAATGGGTTTATAAAGTTATTTGTTATGTTATGAATGAGTATGAATGGGCAAATATTTGTTCTTATTTGGCAAACAAAATGTGAATGTCCCCTTTATACTTTGTGCAGGGCAGAGAAAATTCATATTTGAAATAAATGAAATATTTTATATCATAATTTTAAGACAAAAAAAAAAGTTTCCCAAAGAAAGAATTTTAAAGATATTGATAGATTCTTATCATCAATCTGGGATGCAATCTCACATTTCCAACTTTCATTTCGATGTTGTCTTTATTTATGCACAATCTAAATTAAATAAAACACTCATTATTATTTTCATAATACTATTTTTCATTTATAGTAGAATCTTTACGTGATTAAAAGCATTCTAGATTCTGAAATATGTTTCCAAATTTTCAGATTTCTAAGAAAGCCACAGACAGTGACATTGCAATGGAATGTGAAGACACAGTTGTAGTTCAAAGTAAGATCATCTGCAAGCAGTCTCTTTTGTAACAGGTTCCAGACAGTGGCGGACACCTGGGATGCGAGGGGGGCAACCGCCTCCCCAATACTTTAGAGGGCAATTGACTTTTGTTCTAAAACAATGGAAAATGTGATGCCATCTTGTTAAAACAATAGGCTTACCCCCCAAGTATTTGACAAGTGTCAGCCCCTGGTTCCAGGGAAAGCTATCAACTGTTGACAATAATAATCAACAATGCTAAAAGAGTCCAAAATGTTTATAAAAACTTCATAATCCTGTTATAAAGTAGCATCAAATGAAAACAATCTGATATAATGTTCTTTCATGTTCTCCAAGAAAGGTTTAAATACCCCATATAAATGTGCTTTATTTATCTATAGTATGTATGTATATCATGAAGGTCATAGACGTTGTTGCTAGAGGGTCACACAATGTTGTACCAATACCTTTCTAAAAAAATTAACTGTCCAGACCATGTTCCCAGTGCTCTTAAACATTCATGTTAGGTTTGATATTCAATTATATTTTTCTGTTGAGATGTAGTTTATTCAGCTTTCTTATGTTTCTTGTCTTTTAATATGCCAGCTTTGTATCCTCACAATTTACTCTATTGTTAGTGATAAAATGTTTGCATGCTTTGGTTTGCACAAGTCCTGATGCGATCACAAGTAATAACTTGCATCAAACAAAAAGTTCTGCTCAGGATCACATTATCCTACAATTTATAGTAGCCACTTAGACCCATCCTGTTCTAGACACCAAATTGCTTGTGTATAGCTCTGCCTGTATGGTATCAAACACTTTACAACAAACCAATAAACACAAGTTTTCATTACCTGTCTGCACATAGCGTTTTACTTCAAGAAGATATTTTTGTCCAGATTTCTAGCTTTTACCTGATTTTTTCTCTTAAAATTATTAACAGAATTAAAAGAAGAGGCATCACATATATCCAAAAAAGAACGATTGGTTTCTCCAGGAGAAGCACAATTTATTCTTACTCTGAGGGATGACTATGGAGAAGATTACAAGGTATGATTTTATTTTGGCTTTAGTTCACTTTGGTCTGTAAAATTACAAACTTGAAACAAGTGCCTTATTTAAATATAGATATGCTCTCTTAAGCTGAATCCACAATGGACACATCACGGCGCGTCAAGGTTAAATAAATTGACCTAGAGAATAATGACAGCCAGAAACGCAAACAAGGAGCTTCTGAAATAGGCCATTATAAAACTGTATTGCCTGTACAGTGAAGTATATTTTGATGAGTCTCTATGATTAAAGCATTGAAGGGCTAAATTTTGAAAGTAACAAAAACAAATCACATTTATTAGTTTATGATAAGTAACAGTATTATTCGTGTTTAGAGTCTCTGTCTAGACTATAAAGTTGCCTCATCGATGTTCAATTCAACAGCGATGTTGAGTCATTGTATGTTGTGTTTTGGTAGCATGAAGAAGTATATTCTGTATGAATAGCATGAAAAAGTACATGACGCGACACTCGATGACGCTCAGTGATGCCAGTGTGAATTCAGCCTTATTGTTTCAGATATTTTAAATATTTTAAGTAAGCATATAAATCAAAATGCTAATTTTGTATAAGATACTTTCCTAAGAATCATTTTCATTATCATTTTTCTTTTTTAATCATAACATTTTCTCAAGTATCAATACAAAGTTGAACTTAGTAAAAGTAACTCTATTTTTTCAGGCAATGGCAAGAGATAAAAGAAATTACCAACAGCATACACCCAACCAACTACGTCGAAAATTTGAAGCATTCTTTAGGTCATCTTATTATAAAAAATACACATCAAGTTCAGAGGTGGAAAAGGGATGATATACTAAGTGCTAAAATTATGGAAGACCCTTGCAATTGTATTGGCAGTAATGTTGCAGAGAATCCTTGTATTAAGATTTTCACAAATAAGATACAAGAATTAAAAAGTAACTGGACTCGCAGGAATGAACTGGTAGAGCAGATGGAAAACATTTCTTTAACTTCAAACCTCACTCAATATTATGAGCATCTTATTATCAAATATCCATTTGAGAATTCATTGTTGAAAAGAAAACTGTTTTTAAACACATCACAAGGAAGTTTTATTTTCATTAATGTTTTCCCATTCTCCCTTTTCTCCAGCTTTTCGTCTCCTGTAGGATTTCTAAACAGTACCATTTTTACTTTACTAAGCCAATACACAGCACAGGTGACTAAATATATAGTAATGTGTCTAAATACTGTAAGGGAGCTGTGTATTTGCCACCACTTAAAAATTTATCTCCTGTTTTGAGTAATTTTATGTCTTAAAAGCTTTTTACACTTTTTATTTTGTTTTGAAGCAATTTGTCTGGAAAACTAAAACATTTGTTCTTGCTTTCTATTTGTTTTGTTTGAAGAGAAACCTGCTTGCTATAATGAATGGCTTAGAGCCTTCAAACATATGTAATAATTGCCAAAAGTCTTGGAACACTAACATCAGTTTTTGAAGGCAATTTCTGCCATTCCACTCTCCCCCTAGGAACGATGTTGATTTTCTTTTAAAAATATAGTGGTTACAGAATACGCTTTTTCTCGTGGCTTATATGGTATTTCTCTAAACTATAAGTGTGGCAGGATAATGGGTGTACACATTATACAACATCCTGTTAACCTTATTTCAGTGCGTTTTGCCAAGTGTATTTTTCTTTGGCAAATCTTAAAAAAAAGACCTACCCTACTTAACGAATTTTTTCACCAATTGTTAACAGCATAACGACAACCACGCTTTGACAATAGTGGGGGCAGTTCAGATACCGCCCACTGGCCCTGCAACTAAGAAGACCTTTGTTCATGTTTTGCTTTTTTCAAGGTCCTCAGTTAGGACTGAGAATATTTTTTTGGTATTGTTATGAATATAGTGCGCGCACCATTTTTCTTAAAATAAGCAATACATATAACAAGATACTCAAACTCACGTTCTATTACATCTTCTACCAAGGAGTAGAGCGAGAAACTTCTGCAGCCTCAATTTGCGAAGTAAACTTTGTCAATAATTGCCTTCTTCGTGTAAGGCTCAGTCCTCTCATACTATGCAACCAAGTGTAAATAAAGCTAGAAATCACAGTTTGCCTTTTTATAGAGAAAGAAGAGGATATGGAGCAAGCGTGATGTTTTTGAAATTAGCCTCAAGGGAACCCTTCCCATGTGACCCTATGCTTGCGTTTTGTAACCTCTAGAGGATCAAATATGCTTTGTTACAAAGCATTGCCCCTCTCCCACGAGGCCACGTTAGTTAAGCAAGAACCGACTTGATTTCATCAAAGGGGATTTCAATAAGAAGACAAACAAATTGAAAACAAAACACATGACCCTTATTGATAGCAGTAATTCACTGTACTGAAAAGGCCTACCCTGTTTAGATATGTATTATAATTTTTTATTTATTCATTGATGTTTGTCACACAAACAGTTTGTCCGTAGATGGAGCTCTAGGAAATGAAACAACTAACGGGAGAAAGTCCTCACTGGCCTTTTTGATGCGTACATTCTGGTAACATGCAAAATGAAATGGCTCTGGTCTCGATTCTACAGACGTGTTACTACAGCCTCTAATTAATCTTTTACAGGATTGAGAAACGAAACATGCCTTATTTGGCAAAATAGCAGCTGCATACCAAATCAAATTAAATTTGCAAAGATAGGGCTTCGACTATTTATCAATATATTCCTAAATTGTTAAAATAGCAACTAACACAGAAAACTTTTCGCAGGTCTGTTACGCTAAACTGCTTAGAAAATACGAAAGAATGCAACGGATAACTTCCGTTCTGGACTCACAGCAACACTCTTAGGGGATCTAATTTACAACTTCGTTTGCAAAAGATAATATAAAATTTTAAAATCCATATTTTTGTGCACACATTTAAATAATCCCATATTAAATCAACATTAATGAAGAGTTAAGAAATAACACCGGAAATGCAGCAAATTAATGAATTATTAATCTCCTCAAAGCAAAGGTTCTATTGGAAATTATTCAATGTAATTATATGCCTTACATTGGTTTTACAAACTGAAGCAGTGTCAAACCAACTAAATATTGTGCAAGAAAAGCAAATATGCCATTGTTTTGATAAAAAGTTTATAATCATTATAAAGATGATTACATCGCATTTTTGTAAAAGGTTTATCCACCTCAACAAAAAGACCTTTTCAAATAACAACTTGATTTTGGTTGCGAGACGAGTAAAGTTCGTCGTTTTCCTAGAGAAATAATGAATGGATACTTGAATACCCTTAGCTTTGGATCAAAGCTATATCTCTTTAAAATGTGAATAAAATCGTCTCCTGATCTTCAAAATCAGTGTCTACAGCTCTTTCCAACAAAAGGCGGACTTTACGACATTTTCGGCTTGGATATGATGGATATAAACGAAAAGCCTAACTTTCGAGGAAAAGTAGTAATAAATCTTTGAAAGAATGATTCTCAATGTAAACAGCAACAAACCAAGATTTAGTACAAAAAGCTTCCAAAGTACGATAACTCAATGCGTACTTTTCAGTGGTGAAAAGAAAGATGTTATGTCGTTGCTTTCCAAATATTGTTAGGCTCCTGACGAAAGAGAGATCGAAATTCTAGAGGTGGTTTAGTGGTGGAGGTGGTTCTCATAGGTCAATAACTTTAGGGTTTAGAAAGACAGCAATATATCTAGCCACACACATAAAAAATGGTCAACTAGATCGAGAATTTCATTGCGAGTTCCTTGCAATATCCAAATGCAAAATCGATTTCACAAAAGTTTGCCTTGAATCTAAGGAACAGTTTAATGAGAAGACTTATATAATTTTAGCGGAAAGGATCCGAATTCCTTGCGAGATTAAAACGAAATCGTTGTGGATTATTCATTATTTCTAAATTCAGCATGGTTATACAGACATTTATCATTAGGCCATTAAGTGACAGAAAAACAAAAAGCTTTTTTCATTAACAAGTATGTCGCGCTGTTGCTTTGGGTCTCGAATAAATTGGACCCAGCTCGTAGTATAATAGATAAACAACTTGAAACTTCCAAAAATATATATTTGATGTACTAGCTAGTTTGAAAATAGTTCTGCGCTCTGGTTGCTATGAGATAAAAATTAAATGCAATGTTAGCCCTCATCATATCCAGACCATGCTAAACCCGCAAATAGCGTAGACAGCTAAGCCGCATGGTGACTGCATTATAACGAGCCAGTTCAGTTGCATAACGACTTCCACCAGCTGCAATTACGTTCTGTTTATCTCGCTATGATTCTTGTTGCTCTGAAAACCAAACAAATAATATCATATGAGTAGAAGGTGTTCACATGATAGCGTATTCATTAAGAATCGGATTACTTTTTATCCTAGCTTCAAATCGATTACTCCACCATACATTGATTCATGGGTCGTTAAGATAACCAAGTGTGTTTTGCAATGGTTATTTGATTATATTGTATCACTACCCATAACAAATTCGCTACTATTGTTTCCATACCATCTTCGTACAGCGTGTTTCACTGCCTATTCTTGATATCTTTTGACAAAGGTAAGTGAATGGTAAGGTCTCCCTATGCCTCAGCCTTTGTTTTATATATCTTTTTCATATACTATTGGTAGGTATTATTATTAATTTTAAAATTTTAGATTGACACGTCCCTCTTAACTCGTCGCTCGTCCCTCTCATCTCATATCTACTCTACTTCACTCTTAACCATGCTTTGAAACGTCTATTCAGCATTCTAGCTACCTTGTACATTTAACAATTTTGTAGAACGGAAAGAGTATTGGAGTCCATAAGAGGAACTGATTCAAAACTTATTATTATTAAAGCGTTGAAGATTTGCTAAACCAGAAATAAAGTGTCTTAATGGCACTGTCGTGCATGGCACTTAAATGGCACTGTCGTGCAAGCAGCACGCTGTTGCTGTATTTACACGTTTGAAACCTGAAGCGTTGCACACTCAACTTTCATTCAAGAAAAATCAGTGCGAGTGTGGAAAAAATTACGGTGTCCCATACCTGGAGGCGGTTTAATAGGAATTGCAGCGGATCTCATTTTCCGTTGCGGATCTTGCATCTGCATCAGCTGAGTTGGCATTTGATGCATCTGTGGTATAAATAGGCCAGGTTGTTGTTGCGGAGGAGGCTTGAAAATGAACGCCATAACATATGTTAGAAACAAAGCGAGAAATAAATGAGGGACAGAAAAACTTTGGCAACTAGCAACCACTGCAAAATAAAGCTGATCTACATCTTTCATCGCTATGGGGACTATTTTTATTTCTACTATTCGTTAGGGCTACTGCTTATCTTAAGCAAATAGGAAGCGAAAATAGCCAGATAAAGCTAGCTAAGGAAAACTGCGTCTGGTATTAAAGGCAATTGATACAAATGCTTTTATTTCTAATCAAGCTTCAAAATATTTGCTAAACAAGATTAAGCAAGCATTGAATTAAATGTTTAAGCAAAATGAAGTCAAGGTGTACAAGTTACTGAAAGGAAAGTGATGGTGGAAGATAGTTGTATAGCTTGGTGTAAATTTTATTTTATTCTAGTGCATCTCAACATATCCATGTAGATGTGCGTGATAACAAGGCATACGGACGGGTAGAAACTAAACAAGTTCTATAATGAACATTTGCTAAAAAGATATAGATTTTTAAAGTAAAAACTTGCTTAATTGAGCTAGTTTGTTACATACTTTGTATAATGCAATAAATATTACTATTAGTCTCTGTTGCACTTCTCGAATCAAGTAATTTGTAGAAAAGCTTATCTCAAGCTTTCTGTACTATCCTTACCAATGGCAATGCTACCCAATACGCTTATTGAATTTCAGTACAGCAGAAGATTTCGGGTTATCAATCGGTATTCGGAACTAATAATTCAGCAATGGGTAAGAGAACAATTAATGAGGCGAGAAATCTTCCACAAAGGCTACGGAGAGGACGGAGAGGAGGAAGGGTAATGGATTGAATTAAAGCATCATCTTTCATACAAAAAAGTTTTAAATACACTCTCACCCCTGTTGACATCATTTGCTCGTAAGGATTTTCATATCTGCGAAAAAGAAACGCAAATGAAAGGACATATGTTAAATATTTCATTTCTAATTTAAGTGTCAACTTTCTTTGAACTATTTTCATTTTTAATTTGATTTGGTAAGAGCTGCAACAATGCCAAGAAGATATGCAAAAGCTGTAACATCGCTAGATAATTCATGGAAATTAGAATGAGATGCTTTCAAGTTTTAGCCGTAATCTTGGCAAATATTAGCTGAGATGTTTTATCAAAAAAAAAAAGGAATCTTGAATTCAATATTCCCACTGATAACTTTCAACAGCAGTGTCTATGTCTGGTGAGATCTCTACAGAAAAAAATGGAGACTTGCATACATAAATTCTTTCTACTGATTAGAGGGAAAGGTGGGAATATAAAATAAGTGACTTTTATCAATGTCTTAGCAGTAGCGTAGCGAGGGGGAGGCAAGAGGGGGCGGACTTTGGAAAAAGGGTTTTTTCTGGCGTTCAAAAGGATGTGGACCCCCAATTTTTCCTTGCTCAACTCGCCTTGGCCCCACTCACAATCTCATCACCCTGGCTACGCTACTGTGTCTAAGTAGCTCTGGCCAGAGGAACAGCTATGTCGAATTTCGCTAGCCTATGTTTAAATTCCATCCCTATAATCTGGCATGAAAAGATGTCACAAGTCGAAATGGTTGCAGGAAGAAACCAAACAATACCGTGTTCCTGCTTGCGAGTAAATTCCGGGGGGTGGATGCGGAACAACGCCGAATTGTCCGATGTTATTAGGTACTGCTGTATACGCGTTTCCTTGGACAACTATTCCTAAAAAAGCAACGACTCGATTCGTGAGGTATGAAAGGATTACTTCTTGGATATCTAAATGGCTTTCTTGAGATGATATTGATTGAGTTATTAATTGTTATGAATATTAGGTTAATAATATGCCTTCTCCAGAGGCAAAAACATTTCTACGAACATTTAGTTTGAACTGACTTATATACGTTGGTTAAAAAGCACATTTTTTTATATTACTGCAACTGGTATATTTGCACCTTCGTCTAATCGATTTAAGTAAGCATAAGAGACAACTCTTAGAAATCTTGTTAGGACAAGACTTCGCATTAAAATTTAAATGCAAACTCTAAGAAGAAAAATAAAAACCTTTATTTTAAAGCTGGATAAACCGGTTCGAAAGTAACGCTGCAACGTGAAAACGGATACAAAAAAATACGTGAAAAAGAATACTTTTATGATGAACATACCTCCTCGATCTGGCGATGCTTGTTGCTTTTCTGTTGACATTGATTGATTCATGTTCACTTCTTGCAAACGCTGCTGCTGTTGTTGCTGTATCTGTTGTTGTTGCTGCATTTGTTGTTGTTGCTGCTGCATTTGTTGCTGCTGTTGTTGTTGTTGCTGTTGCTCTTGTTGATGCTGTTGTTGATGTTGCTGTTGCTGCATTTGTTGAAGTGCCTGCATCTGCAGGAGATATTGCTGCATGACCGGTGTCATCATTAAATTGCCTGAAAATATCAAGACGTGAAATGATTTATTATTGACAATCTGGAACTTCTTCCGGTTACATTCCACCTATCTACTTACAGCCTAAATCTCTATAATAATTCCACATTGCAGCTTGCCTGGAAGAATATATTTAGTTATAACATAGGTTAAAACCATAGTAAGCTTCAAAAGGGTTTTGATTTTGTTAAGCGGTGAAGGAAGAGAGCAGAGTTGCCGTGACTCAAAAATGGGTGATTGCCGTGACTCAAAAATGGGTGATTGCCGTGACTCGAAAATGGGTGATTGCCGTGACTCAAAAATTATTAGGCAGTAAAAATAGTATACCAAGTATTAAAGGTAATGTGTCCAGCTAAAGCAAGCGACTCTGCGGGGGGTTTTAAAAACATGTGATTTTTCATGTCATCGCCCCAGCAATTACGGTCGTTTTGTTTATCTATACTGCTGCGAGTTTAGCTTTTCATGTGAGCAGTTTTGCATCGCAAGAATACTAACCAATCGCAAACCGTTATTTTGATGGATGGCTTGACAAGTTGGGTATACGCAGTCCATTTATATGGACACATTACCTTTAAGTGTATCAATATCATTTTAGAACACTCAATCAGTCAACTCCATTAAACATAATTGTTTGTCTGCAGTGACTAACAGCAAATCAAAACGGTATTAATTATCAAAACAGCAGCAATAACAATAACAGAGAAATGATTGAGACCCTCTTGATTGAGATAAAATTTCTTTGAACGTAACTATTCATTTTCAAGTCAAAAGTAGCATTATAGTTAAGGCAACGGTCATCAAAAAATTCCTTACCTTGGTTAGGGGGAATATGTCCTTGTTGTTGCTGCGATTGAGCTCCTTGTGCACCGTCGTATCCCTGTGTTTGCATGCTTTGTAGCTGCGCTTGCATCTGTTGCATTTGGTACTGTAACATGGCCATTGAGTTTTGCTGGAACTGCAATCTTTGAAGATCTGAAGAAAGATCAAATGAGGAATTTGCAAAGGTAGCCGTACAACGTGATATAGCAAATAAAACATTTAGAGAGAATGAGCAGGTTCTTCTCGTTAAAAATGACCATTCCAACCATCACTCATAGAATCATCCGAACCATCACTCATGGAATCGAAAGCTTCTCCTATTTAGGATGTAAGCTTTGCAACAATCTACCAGAAAACTTGAAGAACCTAAATACTCTTAATACCTTTAAAGTAAAGATCAAACAATGGAAGGATAATTGCAACTGCAGGCTGTGTAGAACCTTTGTAGCACAGGTCGGGTTCTTGACATGAATTATCTAACATGATTATTTTCAACTATTTAT